TTTATACTGCATGATTATGTAAAACCAGTTTATATTGCACACAAAGTCTTAAAATATTATGCTGTCTTATAAATACATTTAATACAGTAAAATACTTTATTTTAGCTGGAATTTATTTTCGCTGAAAAGAATTTTTTGGTATTTTGTATGAAATTTATTTTCACTGATTTTTGAGTTGAATGTAAAAAGGTATATTCGCTGGATTTTATTTTCGCTGAATCATTCCTTCAGCAAAAATAGCGAAAATTAATTCCAAGCGAAAATAAAGTATTTCACAGTATGTGGAAAAAAGATAAATGTTATATGCTAGCTAGCACACATGATTTTTTTATGTACATTATATACTTATAGAAATATGAAGCTTCACAGAACACGTTGTTACATACATTCAAAACATTCAAGTACTGCTTATGATACATCCATGGCTAGCAAAAATGAACGGGAAAAAAAATACATCACCAAACGTTGTTTTAAGATCTGAATTTTTGCACTTTTGAGAACTGATAAATTCACCAATTTTCTACAACTTTTCGGTAAAAAAAATCTAAATTTTTGAAGCAGCTCTAGTTTTAGCATATATTTTTTATTTTTCTAATTCCTAAAAATTGGCTGCACCTTCTGAAAAAACGTAAAATATCATAAAATACATTTGAATAACAGTGGTAGTATTAAACACAACAAAATGGTTTAATTGCAAGAAAGTCATAAACTTGCAGTCTTGCAAAGTGAAATATTTACCCTAAAATATAAATTGAGTGTAGTACATGTATTCATTTCAAATAAATCAGATACATGTATACGAGATATAACATCCCCATAAAATATTCACAACATTGATATAAAATAACTGCACAAGTCATCAATATAAGTTTTGCTGATGGGATTTAAATTCCAATCTTTCTCATACCCAGGTACATTAATAAACACACTCATAAATAATTACTAACACTACATACACATTATACATGTACTTCAATGGATGCTTTATGCAAGGCAATTTCCTGAAACACAGACTGTGTCATATCACCCGTCTGTAATCTTGAAAAACTAAAACCAGTTGAAAATCAATTTTCTTTAGTGATTCTGTTGAGTATATAAATCATTACAGAAAGATCAATGTACATGTAATAATAATAACTTTATTGTTATCGAATCTCTGTTGAGATATTGATAAAATTATAATAAAGAATAAAATCATGATAATAAAAAAGTAAAAACAGAAAATATATGTATGGTTGAAGTTTTTTTCCATTTCAATTTGAGGGGGGGGGGACTTAAACATATATTTTGATTAAAATTGAAAGTAAAATTTCTCCATTTTTCCATTTTGATAAAAAGTCAAGGTTCTCCCCAAAAAAGGAGGCTTTATTCTTTTTTTTTATTGAAACAGAGAACTCATAACTCTAATGCAGAACAAGAGGGGGCCAGCTCTGCAGAGCCGAAGTATACATCTTTTTTTATGTGAGTACATGCACCCTAATAACACATCTACACATCTGACTAAGAGTTCCAGTACTCAACCGCTGCCGAGTAAGTCAATATGCATCACATGTAATTAACTAGACAGTACTCATCCGTCTTTACAGAGTTATTTCAATTCATTATTTCTAATAGTGGTTATCTTAACAATTATAGCTGTCCAATCTAGGAAACTTGAGAGAGCGCCATTCATGAACTGTCTGATATGCATTAGATATAACTACATTTAGTAAGATCACAAAGGGTAAAGTTTTCATCAGCTGAGTTTAGTCTGCATTCATATATGCAAACAACTTAACTGGATAATCAGAATGATCAGTAATACTTTACTTAAAAAGGTATTTTTGAGTAACAATTATTGCCTTTTGAACTATATATTTTATACATCCACATATCTGGGCATTTCTATTTGGGATCCCAATGGAATTCCACAACCCCTCTCTAAATTAGTCGATTGTAATAACACCCTCTCCCACTTATGGCAACCCCCTCCCCTGTAAGTTCATGCTAATGACACCCTTCCCTCATAAATTGATGTTAATGATCCCTTCCCCAATACATCCTAGCTCATTACCCCCCCCCCCCCAAATAAATGGAATGTACTACTGATAATCTCTCAATAAAGCCATTCCAATGACACCCCACATTAAATGCATGCTAATGACAACTATTCTTCAATAAATCCCTTTCTCAATACATCTATGATAATTAAAAAAAAAATTTAATTTAATCAGCACCAAAAAACCATAGAAAGTAAATTATAGACATTTAATATTAAATAATAGCTAAATATATACTAAGGACAGTGTAAGATAAATTATAATACGCACCCCAATTAATAATAAATATTATAGGATATGTACTCGAATGTAATAACAATGCACTGTGTATGAATGACTGACCCCATATGTTTAAATATATTATATACATATATAGTGTCATTTCTCAGGCAATTTGACTTTAAAAATGATTCAGATAAACATGCCCAGTGCTTATTATATAATTAGAGAGTTTATCTCCCAATATTTCAGTAAATATGATTCTTCTGCTTATAGTATCATTGTTAATAGTTGTAGAGTAGTAATCGCTTTGCCAATTCACCATGGTAGCCCTCTTTATAGAAAATTATAGTAGTCATACAAAGCTGCTATAAAATACTTTCTAGAAGGTTCAGATTTCAGAGAGGCTCATACTGTAACCGTTTAATTTTCCCTGCTTGAAGGGATTTTATTGAAGACAAAGCCACCGAGACCCAAGAGAAATTTTCACTGCTACAATGATTTTTACTGACTCACAATTTGTCTCTTTGGAAATTAAAGTGGTTTACAATATTATTATTATGAATCACAAAATAGTATCATGTGATCAAAATGATAATTTATATTAGTTTTTTAATAATAATTAAGGTACTGTTTGCTTCTTCAGACAGTACATGGTCGCATTGACCTCCGCTGCACGTCGGTTAATACTCAAGCTGTACTGTTTTCGGGCATACTTTTCAGTATCCTCGTAATAGCCATATTATTATACATTTTTTCCTCCCAAGGCTACTTAATGGTAAGAACAGATTGAGGGAACTTCTTTGTATGGGGTCTGGTCGAATTATTAGAGAATGCTTATGCATGTAATTGTTCCATATTTGGAATTTGCATGATCTCCTAATACTAGTATGGTAGGATGAAAATACCCCCTAAAATACCGCAAAATTACGGCACGCTGTAATATATGCATTAAGGTGGCAGATGTATATTATGTATGTAAGTATGTATGAGAAATGTTGTGATTTCATCTCAAAAACTACCTTGAATCAGGTGATTTGAATTCAAAATGCATGTAAATGAAGGTAATCCTGCTTGGATTCGCCAATTTCAGAGAGTAACTTCTTTTCACTGAGAAAATTTCGTGAAAACTTTGTGAAGACTGTTAATTAGCATCAACTCTACACATGTATAACTGAAATCCAGTAGGAAATGTTTATTGCTAGGTCAAAGGTTACAGATGGATCACATGACTGAGGCAATAGAATCTAAGACAACCAGTATAGATTTCTGCAACAGGGATGCAGTGTTGCATCTATTTTTTGCTCTTTTTTTATTATGAAAAATAACAATCAATATTACAATGTATAAACATTATATTTAGAGTTCTGCAACTAAAAGACCTGTATTTATACACAACTGACAATTCTCTCACTCTAAGCCATACTTGGTCCTCAGAAGGTTAGCACACACTTTATGTATTAAACTGGGTCACCAGCTATTCAGCTTTGCTGTGCATGCTGAACTAACTCAAGTC